GCTCATGACAATCTGGAAGACGTCAAAGCAAATTGTTTCCACTCCAAATTGTTTTCACTCTTCCACTTCAAACTGTACATGAACAATTATATCGCTCAATCGTAGTAAATGTGCATCGCCGAATGAGGCCTTCGATCAAGCCATCTTCTCGGAACAACGACAAGATACCATCCAGACGTTCGATGGAAAGCTTCATCTTTAGACAAACATGGTCCAGAAGCTGGCAGATGCTGGTTTGTCTCATGTTACATTACAATCTCTGTAGGAGAAACTCAACATTAACGGCCACAATGGAGTATTGGCATTGGTGCCATCTGAAAAATCAACTTGTCATCATATATCGAATTCCGCTAGAAAACTCTCTCCGGAGTTTCTCTCCGGAGTTCATATCCAACTGTCGTAATGGTAAGCAGTCTGAGTTTCAAATGATGACTCACTTTTCAGGAATGTGTAAAATCACAAAACAATGTGAATCCATCTTCAGGATGAACGATTTTTTTCCGCGCTGAGGCCATCCGTCGATTAATCGCGCTTTTTTTTTTCCTGCTTGTGCCCTCTCAAAACAAAACCTCTTGTCAATCTTACCCTACACTAGGTTAAATCTGTGAGGGTTTTGAGACCGATTAGATTAACTGGACTGCATTTGTGATGGCGCGAGATCCGTGAAAGGCCAGGAATGAGTGAAAAATGAACCGAGTTCTCTTACGCGTAGCGGCAAGCCTAACGTGTCCACGTGTAAGGCGTCTCAAGTGGGAGAAATGATTCAGATGAAAGAAAAGAACTAGTACTTTGGAGTCTTATATGTTGCCTTTTTTTAATAATTAAGAACGCTTAGGCTAGCACTGAAGAACGGGTGATTTTACAGCACTAATGCATTTATTACTTTATTATGTTTAGGTGGCCTTAGAAGGAGGAGCAAAACTTGGATCGGTTTCTTTATTTCCAGGATTAACACTCATCGAACAAGAGCTGCCACTTTCCACAGATTATTGTGGTAAGTTTTCGTTTAATCGTAAATCAATTTGCAGTTCCACGTGAGAATGTGCTCAAGCTCATTTTTGTGGAATGGAGGGAAAATTTTATTCTAAGTAGGCAGACGCCTGAAAAAAAGTGTCATCTTTCTTTTGCCTTTTCAGGAGATTTAAAACAAATGCTAGTCGTAGTACCCAAGAAATAAAATCTCGCCTGCTCTCGTTAATCTGAAAATAAAAAACCAAGTACAACAACCGCAAGCTTTCCACGGCGCTAACCCACGTCAAGATAAGTCTTCCTTTTTCGTTCTCCTACAGGTTTTGTTCGCTGGTGGGACGACCGTAACACCGCTGAACGCATCTCGCTGATCGTGGCATCTTTATTGGTGGCCCTGTCAATCATTTCTGGTTGTTTCTGTTGCGGATGTTGTTGCTGCTGCCGTTGTTGCCGCAACAAGAGAGGCTCTGGAATCGTTTGATTCCCCCCCCACCCCTCCACAGTCAGAGATGGTAAGATTATGACACAACCTACCTGAACCTTCTCAAAGTGACCAAAACATACTTTCTCCTTAAAATATCTCTACAATGTCAAGCAGACAAGTGATGAGAATTAAAAAATATATCAATTACGGGATTATTAGTTCATCCAATACCAAATTCCCCATGCTAACATCACAATAATTGTATGTTAGATAGTACTTTCTATCGAGCGTCTAAACTCGTCCTGAGTTTCCTGGTTTTGTTTCGATTGTTGGCTTGAATGTTAGTGACTCATCATTGGCTTGTTAGTTCAGTTGGTAGAGCACTGCGCCGGTATCGCAAAGGTCATGGGTTCAAATCCTGTTCGAGCCTGAATTTTTTTCAGGCCTTATTTTCACCTAA